GCAGATGATTACCGATGAAGAAGTACTTCACACTCATTTTGTTCCCGTATGTTGACCTGGACCACGGAACATAATTGAACTTCTTAGCACCCAAGCGCAGTACAATGGGGATCTTCAGTATCATGTTCTGTTTCAACCATTAGATTTGTTTCTGTGAAGTAGTACAGCTTCCCATGCTCATGATTTGGCAAAACATAATCTTTCATTTGTTTCAACATAGAGTTTCCATCTAGAAAGGGGACTGAGGGGAGACTTTGAGACAGTTGTTGCTGGTGTAAGTGGCGCAGGGTAATTAAAGCTCTTAGAAGAGCCACATTTTCAGATTCAAATCTTCTCTGTACACATTATTAGACACAATTTGTTCAAAACCATTTATTTTTTCAGCCAAAGCAATTCATTCTTTCTGATTTGTTTCAAAACCCTACGTATTTTCTAGGTTCCACTTATAAACACCAGTCTCTCTGCAGCGTGTGATATACTTCTTACGGCCATTTAAGACCGGAAATTTGTTGAGGCCCAAAAGTATGGTTCTTTCTGAAGATCTAAAGTAATTTAATTCTCCCTGTTTTATCTTCCTACTCATCTTTCAGGAGGTTCTTAAACTACTTCAGCACACTGAGTTTTCTTAATCCCATTTCCTAAACTATAGCTCAAATAGATTGTCTATGGTGGGTAAATCATAGTAAACACACTACACACTGGATTTTTAAAGTGTTAATCCTTCAGGCCACTAAGATGCCACTTAGTGCGTCACACACAGCCTTATGCTCTGGAAATAACACAAGCCCTGGGGAGAGAAGATTCCCTAGCGATCCATCAGCAGGAAGCACAATACACATTATGTCATGGTGACTGTGACACTCAGCAAGCAAAGAACAGGGACAGAGTTCACTGACATAGGCTTTCATAGCTGGCCCTCACTGGATTCCCTGCTCTGTGTCAAGGACACAACTGCAAGCATTCTTCTATATGAATTCACTGAATCCTCTCCACAGCACTGTGAGATGGGCGCTATTGTTATCCCCATCTTACTGATGAGGAAGCTGAGACACAGAGAAGTCATTTGCCTATGCTCACACAGTAACCGGTGGCATCAGGAATTGAGTCTGGGGAGTGTGATTTTGGACCCTTGCCCTTAGATACTCTGCTGTACCATTTCTTGGAACCAAAACACTATCATTCTTCAGGCAGGAAGAGCACAACGGAGATGATGTATGACTGAGGAAGGTCTACAGCTGTGACTGTAGACATAATGCCATTATCAGCAGATGCGGGTTCAATATGATGACCACTCTGAGTGCTAGTTAGTATTACCACAGAGATGCAATCAAGGAAACCGTATCCTTCAATCCTTGAAGAGTACCTTTTTTTTTTTTTTTTAAGTAATAAGCATTCCTCAGTGCTTCTGTGCATTCCTTCTGCTTCTGCTTCTTCTGTGCATTTATCACAGGGTCATAGAACCATAGAACTGAAATGGACTTTGAGGTATCATCTAGCAACTGAATCTGGAAATAAGAGGTGAACACCTTTTCAGTGATAAGCAAGGTTATGCCCCCCCCCATTTTAAATACCCATAATATGCTGCATTTCTGTCTTCATCAAATTTATTACATGATTGTGAGAGCTGAATCTTTCTAGCAGGTACAATCTACCAGCTTGCTCACCACGCTTCGATGCCTAAACACCTGGGGAGCCGCTCAGCATGTATGTGACTAATTCACCAACTCACATAAGGCCAACCTTACTCCATCACCGCCCATGGGCAGAGCTGCACAGTACAGGCCTACGACTCTGTGGACAGGAGCCACGGCAGACTGCCAGGGTCCCTGTCCCGGCTCCCCCACGTGTTTGCTCTGTGACCTTGGGAAAGTTACATAAGCTCTCTGAGCTTCAGCTTATCTATTAAATGGAAAGAGTCATAGTACTTCCCCTCACAGGGTTGTTCTAAGGAAAAAAACTAGAGGTTCACTGTGAGCGTTCCCTAATTGACTCACAATATGTGCTGTCTTCTCAAAGTCGGCACGTCGTATCCCACCCTGACCAAGTAGCAGAGCAGATCCCCAAAGTGATGTGACATGTTTCATGGTGGCCAGAGCCTGCTTCAAGGAGTGCAAAGAAGGGGACTATCTATTAGGAAACCAAACATATACACAACCTCTGTAGATAATCCCTTCCCAAAACTCATCACTCAGCCTCTCCAAAAGTATTCATGTCTAACACCTTTGTTCTCTAATTATTTTTGCTCAGTGAAGGCCAGACTCTCAAGTTCACTGAGGCAGTCCAGGTTCCTTCACAGAGTTCACAAAGCCTTTCAAGACCTCACCTCTGCTTCATCCTGAGCTCTCCTCCACCTGCCCTCCTCCCACTATCCACTGCATCTGTACAGAGTCTGTTCATGGAAAGGACCACGTTCTCTCTCCTCTCTGCTCCGTTTTACGTGCTCTTCCCTCAGCCCGGGATATACTCACTGTCCTTCACAGCCTTAGGTCTTGGGTAAGCCATCACTTCCTTCAGAAAGCTTCCCTCAGCTTCCAAGATGGGATTGGATGTCCCTCATAAGCTCAAAGGGCCATGCCCCTCATCAGGACACTTACCACTGCTACTATAAACTGTTTGTTTCCTGGTCTGTATTCCCCACAAGGTAGGGAGCCTGCCACTGTATCCTGAGGTCAGTAAGTGCTCAGTAAATATCTGTGCTTTGCTCACAGAATGAGGGAATGTGAAATTCAGTGAAATAAGGCAAATGAATGAACAAGGAGAGTTCAATTTATGTTTTCCTTTCAATATGTATTGGATATGGGGAAACAGCACCCTTCTTCATTTAAAAAACTTCATGTCTTTATTGAAGATTATATGATTATATTGAAGATATAATCGAGGTACCCCTTAATCTTTTCTTCCCTAAACCACCACAGATGAGCCCTATGTTTAACTCATTACAAGATAAGCCCTGACATCATTCACTAATTTGGTTCAATGCAGGAAGGTTTTCTGACTGTTTAGACTATATTTTGATATACTGTTGGGTTTTTAAAAATTAATATCTGATCCTACATTTGTGTTGATTCGAGTATTTTTGAGGCCCAGTTATTTAAGAAACATTCGTTAACTCCTCTGTCCATAGCACAGGATGGAGTTCAAGGGCAGAGGTTAGGGAAGGAACGAAGATCCTTATTCCCTGTTGTCCAGAATGTTAACTAGGTCAAGAGGCAAAGTCACCATAGTGAAAGGTGAAAATAAGCACAAATACAAAACATTAATTATGACATACTGTCACATCTTGATGCTTATGCAACCCTGAGAAGTAAACAGAATATAGTTTATCCCTACTTACACACCAGAGAACCTGGCTCAGAGATGACAAGATTTAATACACAGATGGGTAATGACAGACCCAGAACTGGAACCCAGGTCTGCCCAATACTGAGTCCAGATTGTGCCCTGCTGAACCACTGTGTGGCTCCACTACCTGCCCAAAGAGACCCAGGGAGCCAGGTGAAAGGCAAAGCCAAACCACAGTGAGTTCACGTGACAAGACATCACCCAGCAGAAAGGCCCTCCTCAAAGCCCCAGAGGCAGGTGACCCCGGGGTGCTTAGGGGTGGGCTGAGATGCACAACCTGATGTCTGACCTGCCGACATGTGTGCACAACCTCCCTGCAGGCATTTTGCTGAAAGAGCGTATCATTTCTCTCCCCTGGGTGGAGAAGGAAGAGCCCACTTTAAGAAGTTCTCCATCTTCAAAATGACTGCTTAGCAAGACATGGGAGTTTTGTCTTTTTGCTCCAATTTTTGCTTTATATCGAATCAAAAGAAATGTAGGTCCACATTAAGAGAAGTAAATTAGCAGTAGGGGCACCATTAGTTTGTTTACCCAGCATAGAATTACATCCTCTGTAAACGGGAATATCAAGTAGCATAAAAAGCCTAGGTGATTTACATTTTCTTTTTGATTAGAGGATTGCAACTACTATACTCAAGGAAGGAAAATCTCTCCCATTTAGCTTTTGAAGATCAAAGGGGCCATTGAATATACCATATTACCAGCATTTTTTTTCTTTCTTGGTTAAGACCAGGAGGTGCTTTACAAATTGAGATTGTCATGAGGAAAAGGGAAGACTTTATTGGGGGTCATATGCATTGATTATGGACTAGTCTGTGTCCCTAAGGTAGGACCATATGTTTAACCTTTGGCTGAAACAGGGCCGTCCTACAGCTTAAAGAACATGTTGACCTGTCTGCTGTTTTGTGTGCACCGATCGGACCAACAAAAAGAATATGAACTAAGAATGAGTTCTGATTCTAAACATTTGGGGGAATCTTTCTATAGCGCATCTGATCAAACTGACAAAGACAAAATGAAAAGTAAAATCGCTTTACAAGAGGATGGACCTATGCAGGTATTCAATTGAGATGAATCTTGCTTATCACCAGGCAAAACATGACATCGATTTTATCTTCATTAGCTGAAGTACTTAAGGTGTGGATAACAGCATCCCTTACACCAGTGACTCACTGACATTTGTTTTTCAGCTGTTTATCTGGCATTTATATTTTTTATTCCATAATTTAATGAGCTGGGATAATTAAGACCTTTTTTGTCCTAATGTATAGCATGTTAGCCTAACCTGAGCCTCTACTATCTATATGTCTTGAACATATAGATAGTAAAAGAATGGCTCACTAGGTTAAGCATCTAACTCCTGATTTTGGCTCAGGGCATGATCTCGCGGTGTGTGAGATGGAGCCCAACATTGGGCTCTGCACATAGAGCCCAGAGCCAGTTTGGGATTCTTTCTCCTCTGTCCCCTCTTTCTCTACCCCTCCCACAAAGGTGCACTCTCTCCCCCTCTTTCTCAAAATAAGTAAACACTAAAAACAAATAAAAAAGACAATAAAAGGAAAATTGTAGGAGAAAGATTTAAGTATGATAATCGACTAAATATAATGAGTAAATACATTTTGATGAAAGACTTGACATCTCCTTTCTGCTTTGGGCAGCCAACAGCCTGTGGAGGATAAATATTCAGACCTCCGATACGACCCAAACTGGAAGAATAAGAAAGAGGAGGGGATGTTCTTGACTGTGGAAGGCCTGCCAGAGTCTGTAGACAGCTCTACTGAAAATCTGACTTCGGATCCACTATACCCCTCCAAAGAGACATCCATGGAACTCTCAGGGGGAAAAGGGGAACAGAAGAGGAGCCCACAGAGCGTTGCCTCCTTACTTGGCAGTGAATTTTTAAGCCCAAACTATGAGCGTGGCACCCATCGCGGCCAGCCATCTTCAGAACTGAGCGACAGTGATCTGGGGGACAAGTCCAGCAAGCTCTCTCAGTACTTGAAGAGTTCAAGTTCACATAATGAGGTTTTTCTGCCAGGATCACGTGGCCCTCGGCGAAGAAAGTCCAAACAATATTTTGTGGAAAAAAACAAGCTGACTTTGGGATTACCTACTCCTAAAACAGACTCTTATCTTCAGCTTCACAATAAAAAAAGGGGGGAAATTCTCTTGGAACAGGTATGTAAGTGCTACTTAATCTCTTCCCAGCATGAGACTGGAATTTGCCTTTGTTTGAAATGGCTGGAGACCATTTCCTTTGAGATGATGTCATTGCAACCACATGGCTGAGTAAAACAAATGCCCTTGCTCTTCTTTAAGGAATCAGAGGAATTATTCCACTAATTCTTAAGAGCAAAAGCAAAGCCATCAATGGCTTACAGTACTATAATTCAATTATTATATCCAAAATATCTCCATTCAAGGAAACATAGAATTAAAAAAAAAATTTTTTTTTAATGTTTATATTTGAGGGAGAGAGACGGAGAGGGGTAGACAGAGAGGGAGACACAGAATCTGAGGCAGGCTCCAGGCTCTGAGCTGTCAGCACAGGGCTCAACTCGGGGATTGAACTCATGAGTTGTGAGATCATGACCTGAGCTGAAGTCAGAGGCTTAATCTACTGAGCCACCCAGCGCCGCCCCCCCCGCCCGACACAGAATCTTTTTAAACTGCTTATGCCATTGGATAAAATAGAGGACTAAACATGTGATTCCCTGTGCTGGTTGCCTTTGTTTCCACTACAGCACTGGTTTTCAACCCTCTTAAATGACCCAATACATTGGAGGTGACATGACAAACTCATGTCAATAACAGCAACTCACATACACCAGTTATTCTCAACTTAGATTTTATATACATATTGGGTGTAGTGGTAGAGGGGCAGGATACAACATGTGGTTGTTTGGTTGTCATTTTTAATTATCCAGGTGATTATCCAGGTGATTCTATTACCTTTCCAACCATGATTGAAAATCACTACACCATCCTTTATTCTGTGCAAATGATATAATTAAACCTTAGTTTCTCCATCTATAAAACTGGAACAATAAATGCCCTTCCTTTCTCATCTGATCATTTCTAGAGTAAATTCTATCCCAGATGATGGATTCAAAATCTATTTCATGGGCACTCATAAAGATCCTATTAGCCCACTTCCTGGCAGATAATGGCTGTGGACATAAGAAAAAAAGGTCTGGGGTGCCTGGGTGGTTCAGTTGGTTAAGCATCCGACTTCAGCTCAGGTCATGATCTCACAGCTTGTGAGTTGGAGCCCCACATTGGGCTCTGTGTTGACAGCTGAGAGTCTGGAGCCTGCTTCGGATTCTGTTTCTCCCCCTCTCTCTGCCCCTACCACGCTTGTGTGTGCATGCACGCTCGTGCGCGCGCGCTCTCTCTCTCTCTCAAACATAAACATTTTTAAAAAAAACTTAAGAAAGAAAAGAAGGGCTGGATCAGTATATCCACCATCCTTATTGGGGAAACAACTTGAAACTCATTATCTACTAATGTGGAATCATTTTCAAATAAGAAGGAAAGGTACTATATTAAATGAGGATGCCCTTAAACTCATTCCAAATTCAAATTGGTATTATTTAAAGTGCTATAACCTGTTCTAACCTCTAGGGATTTCTTTCTCTCTCTCTCTCTCTCTCTCTCTTTTTTTTTTTTTTGATAGAACAGGAGAGATGAGGTAGATGAACATTTGTAATTTTCCCTTAATTCAGAAAATCCTTTTATAGTCTTAAAGGATTATGGTCACATCCTTGCCTTTGTAACTAACAATAAAACAAAGGAATGGATGTAGTATATTCAGCTGAATTATCAAAACAAACACTTAGCCAAATTCAAACAATTTTGACCCAATTTTATATGTTAACATAATTTTCATAAAGTTTATGTGTAATTTTGAATTTTGCTTGGTTGCCCATTAAAAAATATAAATTTGGGGCACCTGGGTAGCTCAGTTGGTTAAACGTCCAACTTTGGCTCAAATTATGATTCTGTGGTTCATGAGTTCAAACCCCACTTCAGGCTCTGTGCTGACAGCTCAGAGGCCGGAGCCTGCTTCGGCTTCTGTGTCTCCCTCTCTCTCTGCCCTTCCCCCACTTGCACGCACGCGTGTGTGTGTGTGTGTGTGTGTGTGTGCGCGCGCGCACATGCACACACTCTCTCTCAAAAATAAACGCTTAAAATTTTTTTTTAATTTAAACGTAAATTCAACAGTTCATATCTGTGAAAAATGTTTAGCCAGTAATTTCTCCCAGACTAGAACAACATTTTTCACTTATTTTCAAATGTGTTTGTGCTCAAAAGAAGCCAATCTAGGAGAGACAAATAACGAAGCCAAAGGAAACAGTCATATTTTTTTTTATTTTTTTAAAAATTATTTTTTTTTATTTATTTTTATTTTTTTATTTTTATTTTTTTTACAAATAATTTATTGTCAAATTAGTTTCCACATAACACTCAGTGCTCATCCCCACAAGTGTCCTCCTCCATGCCCATCCCCCCTCCCCCCCACATCCATCAGTCCTCAGTTTTTGTCAGCATTCAAGAGTCTCTCATGGTTTGCCCCTCTCCCTTTCCCCCACCATTTCCACCCTTCTTCTCCCCCTTGTTCCTCCGTCAAGTTCCTCCTAATCCTCCTATATGTGCAAACATATGATATTTGTCCTTCTCTGCCTGACTTATTTCGCTCAGCATAACACCCTCAAGGTCCATCCATGTTGCTACACATGGCCAGATTTCATTGTTTCTCATTGCCATGTAGTATTCCATGGTATAGATAAACCACATCTTCTTGATCCATTCATCTGTTGATGGACACTTAGGCTCTTTCCATGTTTTGGCTATTGTTGAGAGTGCTGCTATGAACATTGGGGTGCATGTGCTTCTATGCATCAGCATTTCTGTATCCCTTGGGTAAATTCCTAGCAGTGATATTGCTGGGTCATAGGGGAGTTCTATTGATAGTTTCCTTAGGAACCTCCACACTGTTTTCCAGAGGGGCTGTACCAGTTTACATTCCCACCAACAGTGTGGAAACAGTCATATTTCTAATAATAAAAGTGAAAATAGCTTTATTATATTAATATCAGCTTTAATTGCTGATTTCTTAATTGCTAATTTTTCTTAGTAGTTATAACTTAATTTATAGGCAATATTGGGGTGAGTTGACTGTCAGTGATTCCATAGCATAATTCTATGTTATGCCAGTGAGGAAACTTCAAAGCATTTTTGGCTTACTCAGTCTTTAAGCTCATGAATTAGTCTTTGTAGTGTGGCCATTGACCTTGTCCACCATTTTTTCCAGGTTTAAATGTTGAAGGGCTTATATATAATTAGAATCAAAATGGTTTCTTCTTCATTTTCCAACATATATTTCCTTTATCTTACTCCTCTATTTTTTAAAAAAGAGTAGCAACTTAAAAATACACAGGATAGAAATTAGTTTGACCTAACAGTGATATGCTATGTGTAACTTATTTTATTGAATTATAGTCGACAGCATAGAATGATGTGTGCCTTTCAAGTCATTATTTATATATGAAGCATGTGCAGGTCTTTCTGCCAGTAGAGATTATATGTTCCCTTATGGGCAAGTACTATGCTTTGTACTTTTTAAAGTATGTTTGTTCGTTTGTTTGTTTAGAGAGACAGTGTGAATAGAAGAGGGGCAGAGAGAGAGAGGGAGAGAGAGAGAATCCCATGCAGGCTCCATACTGTCAGTGCAGAGCCCAATGTGAGGCTCGAACACAGAAACTGTGAGATTATGACCTGAGCTGAAGTTGGATGCTTAACCAACTGAGCCACCCAGGTGCCCCACTTTGTACCTATTTCTAATCTTCATGGTAACGAGCCTAACAAACTGCAAGGTCTCAGTAAATATATGGGAAATGAAAACTGAATCTCATCCATCACCTCCAAACTTACTCTCTTTAGTATAAAGTTTATTCGAGGGGAAATAGAATTATTAGAGCAGTGATTAGAAAGCCTGGCTGGATATTAGATTCACCTGAGAAACTAATGATTCTTGGCTTCACCTAGACCAACTGACATCTGGGTAAGATACTGACAGCTGGTATTTTTCTTTCAAAGCTGCCTAAGCGATTCTAATATTTAGCCAAGATTGAGAATGCTTCAGCTAAAGGAGTGGTTTGGGGGCACCTGGGTGGCTCAGTCAGTTAAGCGTCTGACTCTTGATTTTGGCCAAGGTCATGATCTCACGGTTCATGAGATCAAGCCCCGCATCAGGCTCTGAGCTGAGCCTGCTTGGGATTCTCTCTCCCTCCCTCTCTCTCTACCCCCCTCTCTCTCAAACTAAATAAACATTTAAAAACAGCAACAGTGGGGGGCGCCTGGGTGGCTCAGTCGGTTAAGTGTCCGACTTCAGCTCGGGTCGTGATCTCACAGTTTGTGGGTTCGAGCCCCGCGTCGGGCTCTGTGCTAACAGCTCAGATCCTGGAGCCTGTCTTCTGATTCTGTGTCTCCCTCTCTCTCTGACCCTCCCCTGCTCATGCTGTCTCTATCTCTCCTTCAAATAAATAAATAAATAAATAAAATTTAAAAAAAAAATAAATAAAAAATAAAAAAAAAATAAAAACAGCAACAGTGGTTCCTAAACATTAGTGTGCATCAGAATCAACTGGAGGGTTTGTTCAAACAAACTTCTGGACCTAACCTAAGGTTTCTGATTTAGTAGGCATAGAATGAGTCCCAAGATTTGGAATTTTCTACATGGCTCTTGGTGATGCCACTTCTGCTATCAGGCCTCTTGAAAACCACAGATCCTTTTTCCCTCCCTCTCAAACTTTTTGAAGGCACTAATGAACCACCTAAGGATCTTGTTAAAATACATATTTTGTTCCAGTAGGTCTGGAGAGGTCCTCAAGAGTGTCCCTTTCTAACAAGTTCCCAGGTGATGTCAAGGCTGCTGGACCACACACAACACATATACAGGGTTTTTCAGAGGCCCAAAGTCAAAGTCATGTAAGTCAGTACCCCTAGAGCACTGATATTTTCCATGGCTGGTAGGATTGTTCTGTGGATTTGGGAGCAGGAGGGGAGAATTGGGGTTGGTAGGTTCGGATTAAGCAGCATCTATCTGGAAGGTTTTCATATTTGAAAATCTATTTCCTCCTCCTAATTTCTTTTAAAGAGATGACAAATGTCATACA